GAGTTCTCCCATTGCCTCCCTGGGACATTTCTTGGTGCCTTCCCCCTCAGGATGGAGAAGTGTTGGGTTTCCCCTTCCCTTATCTCCACTGGTGTTTGTTCTCCTGCTCTGTCGGCACCTCAGCTCCCTCCCCAGCTGCTGGCTGAGCCAGCCCTGCACACGGAGTTAATGAGACATTCCTGCCTAAATAACGTGGTGCCATTAAAGCTTCAGATCTCTGCACCTCAGCAGCTGTGTGTTGTCACAGAGATAAATATTTGAAGTGGGCTGGCAATTCCCTGCCTGCCCTGCACAACTGGCTGAAGGAGTGGCTTTTGTTTCATCGCTTATTGAAGTAAAATTCAATTTTTTTTCCATCTAGAAAATACCTGGAAAGAAGCAAAAAAATAAAAATAAGGTGGGAGAGGATGTGCTGTTCTAGAAGGTGTTTTCTGAGCCAAGGGAGATCAGCCTGGCCATGCCCAGATGTGACTGTCCCCTCCCTGGGGAAGGACAACCTGCACAATCCCTGGCCACTCCTAGAATTCCCATTATCACTGATCTTAGGAGGAATATTCCTTTGCTCTTCCTGGCACTCTACAAATTCACTTTGCCTTTGGTAAAGGGCCACTTTCTATGTCTGATGTGACCAAAGTCATTCAACTCTTCCCAGAGCGTGGCAGCAGCCTTGGGGGCAAGACTGAACATCTGATCTTCCTGTAAAACCTGGTGAGCCAAGGATTTAATGTGTGGAGAGGTTTCAAGGCTTTTTGGGTCTTTACATTGACCAAAAAGCCTCTTTTCACAATGTTTTTTAGGTATGGAGTAAGACTGATAATAAAATAAGTTTGTGGCAATGATCCTAGAGCATTTTTTTGTTTTTAAGGACATTTCTATGCAGATAATCCTAGATAATCTGAGCTACTTGGGCTTGGAGGGAGTTGTTCATGTGCTTGGGTTAAAAACTTGATTTTTTTGGTCTGAAACTCTCCTACATCTCCGCCTTCCCTCCCTCAGCATTTGGTTTGGAAGTTGCTCAGGGGGTGACACGTCCCAGGCTCGTGTTTGTACCTGTCCATCATCGAGCCCTTAGGAGATGTAAGAAAAGCAGGAGTGGGACAGCAGATCTCCAGCTTTCATCTGCCCACCACACTTCCTCCCTGGAATACAACAGTAGGGCCCTGTTGGAGCTGAGAATCTCTTTCACAGGAACCGGGAGTTTTATCACCAAAATCATCACTTCAAACACTGCTGGGATTTCTTGGCGGGGGAGAAAGAGCTGAGTAAGATTTTCAGGAGAATGGGCCTCTGTTCAAGGGAGATGAAGGATCTTTCATCGGGACAGTGGAAAACTTGGGTTTCAGAGCTGGGATGAAGCTCATCTGCTGACTGCACGTCACCCCGAAAGGAGGAATTGGTGCAGGTTACCAAAAAACTCCATTTTCTCCTCGGTTTTTGAGGGTTGACAGCGCCTCATGTTTTCAGATGCTTTCACTGACATCTGGCAATAATTTAAATACTGACTCACATTCTGTCGAAAATGTCAGTAAAAGTGACCTTCATCATTAAAATTTCATTTGTTTGAACCTTTCCAGTAATTTTCAGTGAAGAAAATGGAATATTTCTGGTTCAAATGGCCGATTACCGTTTTCCAAGCAGTTTTCAGCACTCTGTTTTGTCCATCCCTGTGGCTGAGACGTGCACTCTGCACAAGAGGGAGTAAATATATCCAAATTATTTTTGGGAGCCAATGTGATTCACCTCTGCAGTTCGTTGTTTGCTCAGAGTTTTGCACAAATTAAAAATGCCTAAAACAGGACCTCAAATTTAGTCCAGGGAAAGGCCAGGATCAGTCAGTCCTAGTTTTCAATTTTGATTTTTTTCTTTGACACCTGTATACTCATAACAAAAAGGGGAATTGTCCAAAGATGTGTCCAAATTCCCCCTGTCCAACTCTTTGAGTCCTTCCCCCCCAAAAAAAAAGGACTGAACTCTCACACAGGTCTTGTCCATTTGTAATAAAGAAAAGGTGAGAAAAGACCATTAATTATCCTCTTATTCCATGCTCAGCATAATCTCAACCCGTCTCTCCCAGATTGTGGTTGGATGTTTTTACAGGCACATCTTCAAACCTTGATTTAAAAACTCTCACATAACATTTTATACAATTTTTGAAGTGTTATTGTTACCCTGAGTGACCCGCAAAGATGATAAAGAAGCAGATTCAACACTGAAATTAAGATAATTCCCCCTTATTTACAGTACAAAAATTTTATTTTTTTTTTGTTAGGATAATTTAAAGTTTAAAACCGAAGTAGACATACTCATTTTACAAACAAGATATTCTTCCATAAGTAGGACCATTAAAAACAGTAAACAAAAAAACCCAAAAAGCTATTTTTACAAAAGCTCTGTGCATAGCGACTTCATACTGTATATAACTGACAAAGCAAAAAAAAAAAAAAAAAAAAAAAAAAAAAAAAAAAAAAAAAAAAAAAAAACAACCCAAAAAAAAAAAAACCCAACCAGCCAACCCCAAAACTATACAGGAGGGAGAAATGAGGATTTAAATTACAGGAGGGAGGAAGGGTTTGGAGAAACCATGCATATTGGAAGTGTGCAAAGAAAGAGGGAGAGGAAGATGATCTACTGAGAGAAATTAGGAAGAAATTAAATTAGGAGAAATTAAATCAATATTTGAAACTAACTTTTCCAAAGTTAGGATGAAATTTCTCATCACCTGTTGCAACACTTTCATCTTCCCAGTGGCAAAGAGGAAAACTCTCAGGGAATTGTCAACAGCGACCACTCAAAGAGGACAGATTTGTTCATTACTGAAAAAATTCTCACACTTCAATTCTGGAATCATCTTTTCCCTTTTTGCTGAGCGTTTTGCCACCGCCAAAGTCCTTTTTTTGTGGCCAAGGATTTCTGATTGTGTTTATTTCAAGGTGTTTTTCTCTGTAAACCTCAATTAAATCTACACTCATCTCTTGTACCATGATTTCCCTGCATGAACAAAATCCATGTTCTAAATAATTCCTGGGTTTAATTTGTTGTTTTGTTTGTTTTTTTTTCTCAAAGCAAACCAGATTTTTCACATTTGCATCATCACAGGCAATTCCTCTTCTGCAAGTGCTTGGAGCAGCTTTTCGGGGAGGTTTCTCTTTTTCACTTGGACTCGTGGTAACTGGGCAACTGGACAGAACTAATAAAAATAACTGAAGGGTGAAAGGAATGCTCAGTGCTCCAGAAACTTTCCTTTTTTTATTTAATTTTTTATTGCCAGACTGTCGTTTTTACCCCTGAATCTTCCCAAGGTTTCAGTGATGTGTTAGATCTTTCTTTCATGTACCTGTGCCGACTAAGCAAAAATAAAACAGAAGTATGGACAAAACCCAGCTTTTCCCATGAAATATCTCTTTTTTCTTTTTCTTTTAATTGGAAACTTTCCTGACTGAGATTTTGTAATGAAAATCCCATTTGTTAAGAAAAAAGAAGAGGATTTAAGATAGCAAACTGCTGCTCTGCAGCAGGTGGTCTAGAAATTCCAATTGATCTGGAATATTTGCCAGACAGAATATTGAGTCTATCTGATGATCAATTTTAGAAGTAGCCTGTACAGAGAATATTCACCATTTTCATGCTTTGGAGCTTTTTGGGGTTTTTAGTAGGTGGGAATGGAGGAAGGGATTTGGTAGAATGAACCTGGTCCACCAAGATAATTTTGGGAATTTGGACTTAATGTGTTTTCACTGAAATTTATGGAAGTTTTAATCCCAGCTCTTCCAGTCCTTAATCCATTTTTATCCCTGGATAAATGCATAATTCCAAACAAGAACTTGAACTTCCTACTTAGCCCTGCTGGGATATCAATACCTAAGAATATATGAAATATTTTGGGGGTTTTGTTGTTGCTGTTTTGCCGTTTGGAACATCCAGGTCAGACCCTGCACCCTGTTGTGTTCTCAGAGCTACACTGACAACTCCAGACTTTTGAACATCTACGATTCTTTGATATTTCAGAGCTCACTGGGTTTCAGGGGTGCTGGTTGACCCCCAGTGACTGCCACATCCTTGGTGGCACGAGGGGCACGCAGAGGACCCATAAGGACAATCAACCTGCAGCCAAAACTAACAGGGATTTATTTTATTTTATTTTTTGTGGAACTCAGACGGTTTCAGTAGCCTGACTGTGAAATATTAATTATATCCATGTTCCTTAAACTGGCATTATTCCCACCAAATCTCTCCTTAAATTGTCATTTTTGTAAAATTTATAAGTTGGGCTTTGAGTTTTAGAAGAAATTAACCCCCCACTTCCACCGTTTTAAAATGGGACTCAATGGCTTTGAGGAGGCACCAAATGAAGACCCTGCCAAACCTCACAGCACAGTTAGGAACACAAAATCCTTCCCAACACGTGGGACTTGCTTTGGGAATGGCCAGAGCAGCCCAGTCGGAGTCTCCAAATCTGGTCCCTCCTTTGGAGCTCCACGTGCAGTGGATGGATTTATCCCAGAAACTGAACTGAGCCCTGCACCAGGAAAGGGAACCTGGAGGAGCTGGTCCCACCCTTGGAAGTGTTGTTCAACCCCTGGCAGTGCCCAGGCCAGGCTGGAGCAGCCTGGGGCACGGGAGGTGTCCCTGCCATGGCAGGGGTGGCACTGGGTGGGCTTTGAGGTCCCTTCCGACCCCTCATCCCAGGATTTTCTGTTCCACGCCCTGCTCTCCTGCCCTGCGCCCAAACCCTGTCCTTCAGGTGAGGGTCCCTCAGGTCATCCCCCTCCTCCATCACCATCCAGCTGAGCACCTGCAGAGAGGAGTTTTGGCTCTTCCTGATCCCAATCAGCTCCACAACAGCTCCAGATGAGCTCAGCCATTTGAGTCGTCCCAGTTTCACCATCCCAAGCCCAGCTCAACTTCTACCGTCCCTAAAGATCACCAAGAACACAATTTTCCTTACTCATCCATTAAACTACTGGGCAAATGGATAAGTTCAGATCCTGGGGACTGATTTAGGGTTTTTTGATTAATATCAAGGTGCTTCCATAGGAGCAGCTGTCCATGCAGCCATTAATTGTGTGGATTTTAGGGGAGTCTCTGTAGTGTAGCTGGTGTTTATTTTTTCCCCACTAAAAATGGCTTTCCAACAACCAAATTCTTTTGAGTGCTCTCTGGTTTAGTTGGATAATTTATGATTTATTTTATCAGACTTGTCCTCGCCTTCCAATTCCAGGAGAGGAGATGCAAAGGAGAACTAAATTTTTATGTTAGGCTAAAATGCAGAAAAATTCAAAGCATTGATTACCTCTATGAACTTCAATATCCAACTGGCAAATACTTACCATTTTTAATGACTCAGGATAAAAGTGCATAAATCATTCAAATACATGTTCACCCTTTTAAATGCACCCTTAATATGAAGCATAACTGAACTTAAGGTGTTCTAACTACATGGAAAACCCCAGAGAACCCTTCCCCTCATAATTCATACATCGAATCTATAAAATATACTCAGTACCTCATGAAAAATCCGACTCACTCAAATCCCTAAGTGCCACTCACTCGTCAGCTGGGTCTTGGAGACTTAGCAGTTAATCTTAGTACCTGAATATTTTAATTGAAGCACAAAATGGAAATGGGGAAAGGTGAGGAGGGTGAAAAAATTCCTACATGAGCTGTTTACCACGATGTAGGTAAAAGTTTCTGAGGGTTTTGTTAATCAGAAAGAATCCTATACATCCTTGCACATGAATTCAGTAAGAGGGGGGGGAAAGTGAGGAGCAATTGCAGCAGTAATAATATATCTCAAACTTATCACTACATTTTTGCATCATCTGTCTTCATTGTACAACTGGAGGAAAAAATCCAAAACAGGGTTTAATTTCTACCTCTACATACAATAACTTACAAGTTTATTTATTTAAATAATTGTAAAACATCTTACATTTTTTAAAGAGGTTAAACTATAAGCAAATACACACATACACCAAAGTTCCATCATTCATGTCAGTTTGTCCTAGAAATTCTTTCATGCTGGTACCCTGTTTTGTTGAATTGTTTTCTGCATAAACTAAATCAATATCCGAAAGGCTCCATAGAAAATAGAAACTTCAACTTTTTTACCCCTACAAAGTAAAACAAATTGTATCCAAAATATCAACCTTGAAACATTTTGCCAATTTCTTTTTTTTTTTTTTCCTTTGAATATTTTACAAATCTTAGGAAGGTTTTCGTGTTTTCCAGGAAAGACTTTGCATTTCTAATTCCATTCTGCCAACTCTTGTTCATCCTGGCTCTTGCTGATTCTTCATTCCCAATGGTTGAGGAGTTGATGTGGTTGTGTCAGAAATATGAATCAGGTAAATGATGCAGACTTCTATCTCGTCCAATCCATAAAAAATGTTCCTTTTTTTCCTGGGCCTGGCTTTTCCCCAAAAAAGAGCTTGTAGTGCTATTTTTTTCTTTTTAGTGGTCCATCACAATAAGTAGTTTTGTGCTGTAAAAGAAAAATGAAAAAAAAAGGAGGAAAAAATGGAAGAGGGAGGGAGAGCAGCAAAGCTGCCCCTTCCTTACATCGGGGGAATGACAAGACCAGTCATGGCTGAAAAAGAAAAGTGAAAAAGATGAAATTGTGGCAAAATGTTATGGAACAAAATATATTCGAGCCCTTTGCCCTCCTGTGAGCAGTCAGGAATCACAGGAAGGGCCTGGTCTGAGGTTAAATTTGAATTTTTGTGTCTTTTGGTGCTGCAGTGAGAACTGTGGGGGGTGACTGTGACACAGGCAATGGGCAAAGGGCTGTTCCAGGGGAAAAAAGAATAAATTTCTTCCTGTGTGGGTGGGGAGGGAGTGGGAGGGAATTCCCAGAGTAGCTGGGGCTGCCCTGGATCCCCAGCAGTGTCCTTGGAGCGACCTGGGACAGTGGGAATGTCCCTGCCATGGCAGAGGGCCCTGGATGGGCTGTGAGGTCCCTTCCCAAACCACTCCATGGTTCTCAGATTCTGTGAAAATCCCAGGCCCACCAGGGTTATTAAATGGATGGAAAAGAGAGAGGATTAATTCAATTCATGTGCATTTGCAGAAAAACCATCCCATTTTTTGGGTTCTTATCTCTGGAGAGAAGTCCTTGGCGGTGGACATTGCTGAGAACTGTCCCCAAATTCAGACTGCTCAAGCTGAACACTCAAAACCATCCTCAAAAACCAAAACTGAGCAGGGTCTCTGCTCCCTACCCACCCTGCTCATCTGCAGGGAAGGGCTGGGAGCAAGGAAAGGTGGAAGCAAAGGGAACTCCCCTGTGCTAGTGACAATTCCAAGCCAGGGAATTCCAAGCCCTGAATCAGCCCAGGGCTGGGTTTTGCCAGTCTGCTTCCAGTGGAAACAGCCTCACTTCCTCACTTTGTTTCCCCCACGTGTCTGAGTCACTGCAGCTCTACCTGGCACGCTCCCAGAACTCTGGGCTTATGTAAATTATTTATTAGTCACTCTCCTGCCTTTAATTGCAGTTCTACTCCTCATAACCCACAGCAGCAACTTTTGGAGCTGCCTGGGACCGGTGCTGCTCCCCAAGGTTTTGAGGGGTAAGTTGAGTTTAGATGTATTTATATAACAAATGAGTGAGTCACCTTTTCAAAGGGGCCTCGGTGCACTGCGAGGTCCTAATCCTGCAAAGATTTACGTTCACTGAAATTTGTGGAATTATTGGTGTGTTTAAAGCCCCGTCCCACTGAGAATTCATTTCACCCTTTCCTTGAGAGGGTTTCAAAAAGTGCTTTGGGCAAGTTCCTGAGCTAACACGAGTCTGTTACTGGAGCTGTGTTTTTAAACAACTGTGGATACGGTCTGTGATTTAATACAATAGGAAAATAAATATTTTCATATTTTCTTACTGGCTGGGGCTAAGGTCCCTGCCAATTTTAGCTGATAGCTGAAAGGGAAAGTGAAACCCAACAGCCCAAAGTCAGCAGATACCTTTTGTAATTGCTTTGGAATTTGCTGCGGTTCGTTGTATTTTCAAACCTAAATAAAGCAGGTAAACACTTTCATGCCTCTTTTTGGGATATGTGTGGGTGCATTAGAAGAGAGATTTTCTGATGACACCAAGGATGTTGCTCCATTCCTTCTCCTCACCCCCAAACCCCAAAAATAATCCTACTGGTGGTGTCCCAGAGCAACACGGAGAGATGGGTATTGACCCCATGCCTGCCTTTCTGTCCTTAGAAGGGAAAATTTGATTTAGCCTTGGATTTCTGCCCTGCTCCGGGCTCTGCTGGGCTGGAGGGAGAGGTGAGCAGCCCTCTGTGCTGGCTCCATCCCACAGGTGTCCCAGGGCAGCAGATCCTCGTGCTCTGCTCCGGGCAAGATCACCCAGGCTGCCTCCAGGAGTTTAAAGTGTTTGTCTGAGGTGTCCTGGCTGGGTCTGTGCCCGAAGCAAGAAAAGGAACCCTGCACAGATGGGTGATGAGATTTTTGGCTGCTGGATGTCTGGGCACAGGGGCTGCACCCCTGGAACAGCTCAGCACAGCTGAGTTGCAGCCATTCAGGGGCTGCTGCCAATGTAGTTTGAGCTCTGTTCCCAAGAGAGTCAGTCCTTAACGACATAAATGCTTTTTTTGTGGTGCTACTTTTATTAACAGTATTTTCACTCTTTTTAATCAAGGGAAACTTCCAGCAAAGCAAAGCAAAGTTTAAACCTGATTTTCTGCTACGTCTCTTCAAAAATATTTTGAGAAAACGTGTAGATGGCGTTATTTTGGGAAGTTGCTTAACTTTAAATGAAAGCACATTTTTTTACTGTAGGATTAGAGATATTAATAATAAAATAATATATTTATTGGAATGAATAGGTTTCCAGAGAAGCAGTGGCTGCTCCATCCCTGCATGTGTCCAAGGCCAGGTTGAATGAGGCTTGGGGCAGCCTGGGATAGTGGAAGGTGGCAGGGAGTGGAACTGGATAGGTTTTAATGTCCCTCCCAGTCCAAATGACCCTGGGATTCTGTGATTCCATGATCTGATACAGCAGGTTCCTTAACACAGAAAATACAAGCACGGGCTGATTTGTGTCACTGGCATTTCATTTTCAGCCTCACCTCCTCCTGCAACAAAGCACGAGTCGGTGGAGGAATATTGGCTGGAATTCTCACCTGGTTTTCCCCAGCTCATCTCACGGCTTCTCTCTCTTTTCACACACCCTGCTCTGCCCATTTCCACCCCACCTCCACTCCCCATTGGGGCTGCACTGTCAAAAGCCTATTCCCAGCCTGGATCGCTTTTTATTGAATGTTTGGGAGGTTTGGATTAAGGTCTTACACTGCTAGCAAAGCTGTAATTATTTTTGCCTGTATTACTATATATTGAATCGATGTAACTTTTCAATAAAGGTGGTTCAATGCAGGACACTCCCTGATGAGTTGGGAATATAGCAACCACCAGTCATTATCCCAGAGGGTCTTTTTTTTTTTCTCTTGGAAGGAAATGGAAAAAGAATTAGAGATGAGCCTTATTGTATTAACCTTGACAGCTTGCAATTATCAGCTGAAACACTTGATTAAAATTGTCACAGGGTTGGAGAATTTTTTTATAAATAAATAATCAAAGATGGGTAGCACCATGATGATCTGGTGATAGGCACCTTTAATGGCTGCAATTAATAATGATCATAAGCCTGGTGAGTACAAATGGCCTTTGGAAAACTGTGTTGGAGTGGAAAAGGACTCACTGCAATTCAAACGTGAGAACTGGGAAGGGGATTCCTGCTGAACTCCAGGATCATGGAATGGTTTGGGTTGGAAGGGAGATTCCAGCTGATCTCACCCACCCCCTGCCATGGGCTGGGACAGCTCCCACTGCCCCAGGGTGCTCCAACCTGGCCTTGGGCTTTTCCAGGTTTGGGGCAGCCACAGCTCCTCTGGGCATTCCATCCGAGCCACTCACTGCCCTCACAGGGAGCAAATCCTCCTAAAATACATTTTTGGAAAAAAAACCCTCCCTGTAAACTGCTGGAATAATGGCAATGCAAATCTGAGAATGAAGATTGCACAGCTGCTCCTGTTTGGACTGGCTTTAATTCAGGCTTAAATACTGCTGTGGTTAACATATATGGAAGTTTTAATTTAGATTTTCATTGCTACCTGTAAGGAGGGTGGCATGCTTTGAGGGGCTGGTAAAGAAGAAGAAGAAAAAGAAGAAGAAGATAAAGAAGATGATGAAGAAGAAATTATCATCCTCTAAATGTAGATATCTAATTCTATAATATATATTATTATTTTTATTATATTGAGGAGATGTTTTCCACATGTTATCAGTGGGGAAATTCAGAATTAATGGGCTTTGGAAAGGGGCCTGCACATATTCACTGCTTGCCCTGTGCTTTTGCTATTCTCTCTCCAGCAGCATTTTGGGATGCCTGAGTTTGACAAGGAAATAAATCTGAGATTCCATGCCCAGCACACCTACCCCTGGTTTCCAGCCCCAGGGGCAGAGGGCATTATCCATCTCCCACTGCCTCAGTCCAGGCAAGAAGCCTCTTTGGGAGCCTCCTGTTGACTTTTTAGCCACATCTGTCTGTCAGCACTGTGGGAACGTTAATTTGGATATCAGGCTGTGTGTACCTGGATCTTTTCCAAAGCATGTGCTCCCCAGCTTGCATCAATTTAAATATTTCAGCTGGAATTTGCATCCATGGCTGGAAGAGTTCAATAGTTACCAGGACCTGGTATAACAAACCTTGTTTCTTCTTGCTGTGTCACTGACCAGTCCTTAGATTTTACAGTTGTAGCATGTGAATATACTTATGTTTGTGTTGATGTACAGGCAGAAATCCCACAAAGAGAGGGATGTGGTTAATAAATTCTGTATCCATTTATCTCTGATTTTGCTAATTCAGCAATTATTCACAACCTTAACTCACAGATTAATCCTGACCAGCTCAGGACTGGACTTTGGCCGGTAGAAATGGATGGATGTCAAGTTTTAGCTTTGAGATTTTGTTATATTTAATATTAAAGCTCGATTTTTAGAATCTCTCATTGATTACTGATTTCTAGACTGGTTAATATACATTGTATACACCAAATGGCATAGCTGGTCTCTAGTACTTTATTCCTTTATAGGTTGAAAGAGAGAGAAGCTCCTTCTAAGCAGAGCCTTGAGTGTTACCTTAAGGAAAATTATTAATTAAAATATTTCAGTAGTTTCTTAATCTGTCCTTTTTCTGTCTCCCAGAAGCAGCCTGAGTGGTTTTCTCTCTGATTTGTGTTTAGCACCACCTCAGGTAACTCCTTAATATTTAGGTTTCGTATTTAGGCCTTCTTTACATAAAACTTAGACAAGTTTAAGGCAGACTTAAATCTGTGCATTCACACGATGAGATCAATGGATCTAGCCATTCATGGGAAGAAAATTATCTTAGGAAAGTGTGGATTTTCTTGTAATTGGGGCACAGGAAGAAGCTGTTTCAGAATTCTCTGAGTTAGCTTTTAAAAATGTTACTGTTTTTGTTCAGCATACTTAGAATTTCCTTATTACATAAAATAATCACACTTTCTGCAGGTTCCTGTGGCCCAGCTCAGGGTTTATATCACACCCAGCCAAACAGGTGCTGTTTGTGGGGCTCATTTGGAATTACCACTGGCTCTTGGCACGGCTCAATTCCCAGAGCTGTGTTTCCTAGGCTATCTCTAGTGAAGTCTGAAGGAGCCAGATGACTTCCCAGGCCCTATAAAGGCATTTTTTATGGAGACTTGGAACATATTTATGTGCTGCACACACTTTCCCCCCCTGCCCCAGCCTGTTAAAGCAAGAATTCAGTGCAGGTTTCCATTCTTATCTTTCTGCTCACATTTGTTTCACAGATCACCTTTAAAAGGGCTGTAAATGGGCTGTGGGGCTCAATTCCCGGGCTGAGCCTAAATCTTGCAGCAGGTTTGTGTTCTGGACAGAGCTGGGGATTAACTCTGCTGTGTTTAACAAGCCCCCCAAGCCTGAGGAGAAGTCATTCCCCACAAAAGGGGAATATTCCAGGGAAAGGTGTCCCTGCCTGTGGTGGGGGTTGGAACTGGATCTTTAAGGTCCTTACCCAGCCCAAACCACTCTGGGGTGGAGACTCATTGGGTCAGAACCTTCCTGTGGAAATCACTGCCTAGCCCCTAAAAGCTTGGATTAATCCTTGAATCCAGCTGGGCTGGGGCAGGTTTTCACTCCTGAGCCTTGCAGCAGCCGCGTGATGGAACTCGAGGTGACGACTGGCGGTGGCTGCGTTTCCCAAATGGAAGTTTGAATGGGAATGATCAGGAACACGTTCCTCACCTCTGAAGCCATTCCCGTTGCCACTGGAGCAGGCGGGAGAGGGGGACCCTTGGGGTCTGATGACAGGAGCAAAGGCACTCTTCTGTTTGACAGCGGGGAACACCGAGGAGGAGAACGGGAGGATGGAAGAAGTGCTGGAGGAGCCGACTGTTGGACTTGAAGACATCACTGCCAAAAGGGAAAAAAAAGGAATTTCTCATCAGAACTTCGGTAAAGCTGTTTCAGGAATCTCATTCCTTGTTTTACCTCTCAAAGGAGGTCTCCTTCTCTCAGTGAGTAGAATTAGAGTAAGTCTGAAGTAGAGAGGGAGTTAAACTGAATAGTTCAGAAAAAAACAATTCTTAATTCCTTCAAAATTAAGGGTGAGAGTGCCAGAAAATTGAAAATTATCAAGGGAAAACCAGAGTCAATAGGAACTGTAATGACCTGTCCAATCAGTGTCCTTGCAATTTAGAAAGGTTGGCAAATCCTGTGTCTTCCCCAGTTTTTTAAAAATTAATTTTCCTTGGTTTCAAGCTGCTGCTTAGATTTTACTCTAAATTGGCAACTTTTTAAAGAAGTGCCTTGCAAGAAAAAAAGCCCCTTTCTCTCTCCAATAACTTGTCCAGGAACTGTTTGCTGAGCTTCCAGAACAATATCAGCCATTTCTCAACAAAAGGAGGAATAAATAACAATATTTCATGTGAATTCCCAGGTCTCTTGGTAGTATTAGTTTGAAATCACAATAACATGAAAAAGACCTGGTCCTTTTCTTATGGAAGCTCCAGAAGAGGGGAATCTGCATAAGGATAAAAAAAAGGAGGGAAATAAGAAGCAATCATCAACACTCAGAAAACGGGAGCCTTTTCTAGTTTATACTCATGACACCCAAACACGAGGAGAGCCAAATGTGCGCTTGTCGGAACTCCAAATGTCCCTCAGACATTTTTGGAGGTTCCAGGTCCAGGTCAGAAGCATTTGAGGCCCTGGCAGGCAGCTGCAAACAGCTGTGATTTTGGGTTTGAACATGGAATGATTTACCAACCTTACAGGAAGAACAAGAAGTCACAAAAGTTTAGATATTAGAGTAGAAGTAGTCACAAAGTAGAGGGAAGAATTTCTGAGTGCTGTACAGGGGGTTTTGGTTTTGTACATGGGGGTCAGAGGTTTAAGATGGATTTGGGATTTGGGCCTGCCCTGTCCTCCCTCTTTCTCCTTCCTCACCTCCATGTTCTTGGTTTAGAGTAGAAAAGCACCATTTAATATAGTTAATGGGCATTTGGAAAAACTGTGAACATGTAACACGTAATGTACCATATAAAAGATAGAAAATCACCATTTAATATAGGTAATAGGCATTGGGGAAAACTGTGAACATGTGACATGTAATGTACCATATAAAAGATAGAAAATCACCATTTAATATAGGTAATAGGCATTGGGGAAAAATGTAACCATGTAACACGTAATGTACATATAAAAGATAGAAAATCACCATTTAATATAGGGAATAGGCATTGGGGAAAACTGTGAACATGTGACACGTAATGTACATATAAAAGACAGCAGCAGCCCTGGGCAGGGGAGAGAAGAAGAAGAAGAAGAAGAAGAAGAAGAAGAAGAAGAAGAAGAAGAAGAAGAAGAAGGAGAAGAAGGAGAAGAGGAGGAGTCAGAGAGGATGTCAGGGTGTGTGTGTGCCTCTGCCTGAGCTGTGAGCAAACCACAGCAGCCCCAGGAGAAAATCTTTTAGAAAACTTGCAATAAACTGCCTTGAGACCAACAACAGAGACTGCTGAGCCTTTCTTTGGAAGCTCGGGTTGGAGGAGGGACTTTTCCTCCACACGGAGCCCGGAACCAGGGATTGCTCTGGCGTGTGCTAGAGCCAGGTGTGGGGTTTGGGGGCGGGATGGGGTCGGGGTACGCGGCGCGGGGCCGTACGTCCGTAGGGGGATCCCGTGGGGGAGCCGTTGATGAAGCCGGGGGAGCCGGGCACGCCCAGGTTGGACATGGGCACGTTGCTGTAGCCGTTCATGCTGTTGCTGGAGGTGCTGTAGTTGGACTGCTGAGGGGTGGAGCTGGAGGAGTACCCCCGCGGGGAGATGCTGCTGGTGTTACGGATGTAACCTGGAAATAAAACACATCTCAGAACAGCTCTGCGGCTCAAAGCTTCCTCCTGCTCATCCCCTGCTTAAATAAACGTCATGGAAACCCAGATGTAGGCAACATCACTACATTCAATGTTTTTTCCTGCATTTTAAGTTCTGAACCAACGTTTTGAAGTGACCCAATGTATTAGGAGTGCCCCAACCCTCTCAGGAGAAACCTGGTGTATGTTGGAACACGATTTACACGTAAAAGGATGTGGCTTGGCCAGGAGATGGGAGGTGGGCTGTGTCTGGAGAGATACGGGGACCCCAGGCGCATAAACAAGCCAAGATGGATCTCATGGAAATCCTTGGGGAGATCCATGTGAATGCAGCATTCCCATAAATTTTATCAAGGGATTCACCAACTCCGGACACTGAATTGTTCTTCCTCATCACCAAAAAAATAAAATCTCATTAACCTATGGACTCTGAATGGAAGAAAATGCTGACTGGTGAAATCTTGGCCTCAGGTGGAATTTTCCCTATAAAAACCGCTGGTGCCAGGATGGAGGTGTGGGCATGGAGGAAATCCTCTGCTGAGGCTGACTCCTGGTGCCGACCCCGGGCTCGGCTCTGTTCTTTCCTTGTGTCTGTCTAGCTAGACTTTGATTGCAAAAATAAATATTCTATTTTAATTTGGCTGGGCATCCATTTATAACAAGGGAAAGGCTGGGTTGGGGTTGCAGGGAACGCTTCGGGGCTCACCCTGGTTGTTGCCCTGCGCCGACTCGGAGATGCTGACGCCCAGCTGGCCGCCGTAGGAGTTGATGCCCATCATGGAGCTGTGGGCAGGGGAGCTGGGCAGCGCCGGGATCTGCGCGGGGTTGCGGGGCACGCTGTACAGCGCCTCGGCGATGTCGGCCGCGCGCTTCAGGATCAGGTCCTGCCAACGAGCGGAATGCGGATGAAAACTTCAACTTCGTCATTTTAATGGAGATTTTA